TTTTCGTATTTCTTCAATTTATCAATCAAAATCAGCCGAAACCCAAACAAAATTGGTATGACTGAATAGGTATTTTCAATACCTTTCAAACGAGCTGTCACTTGCCATAGGGTCCCATTTGAAATTTTTGGTCACAGTGGCCTTGTGACGTCATTTATGACTATTGCGTCACCTGTTATGACCAGTTAAGAAGCCTACATCAGTTTATTTCCACACTCCAAATTTCATTATTATAAGTATACCCGTTCAAAAGATACGAGGGGGGGAGGGGACTTTTGACTAGCACTGTATACTGCGTATGCTCATCCCATCGTAAATGCTGGTCAATTATGACTCCTAAATATTTAAGTTTAATCGATTTTTCGATCGTAGGACATTGGCAGATATTTTGAGCGCAATTTATTTTATGTATCTTCAAAAACTTTTCATTTGGTTGGTCGCTTTTTGTTGCCTTTTCTAAAATTTTTTAAATTGCCGGTACTATATTTATGGGCCTGAAATCATTTGGTGTCAAGGGTTTAGAAATTTTGTTTATAGGAAAAATAGAGTGTTTCCATAGTTCCGAGAGATACTAGTTTCTAGGCATTTTTTGACTGAATAATTAGAACTGGAGTTAGGTAAATGATATAGATTTTGATAGATATCTTATCTGATCCGGTAACATTCGTTTTGTTCGAGTTGACTATCATGTTAATATCATCCATATTGATGTGATGGAATTCAAAATTCAAATTTTCTTGAAATTGCTTAGTTCCAAATAAATAAAAAATAGTTCAAAATATAGAACAAAATAAAAATTTAAACGTTACAAGGTTTACCGATTGAAGGACTACACTCTACAGTAATAAGCTTTTCTGAGAATAGTCAGTTTCACGAACGAGGTAGATAAAAGGCGAAATAATAAGCCACTCAAGTGGATGAACAATCTTTCAAACCCCAAGGAAAAAATTCAAAATGTGACTTATAATTTTTTTTACTAAATTTTACTGAATCTCATTTAAAGTCTACCGTTCACAGGTGAAATCCTGCACATTATCATTCTACCAAAATATAATTATGCGCATTCAAATTCAAGATTAGAAAACAGAGTTGGGGCGCTGCTAATTAATTATGAGTGCCATATTTATACTTCGCGAAGGACAATGAATATTTGCATCGGAGTTATCACAATACGGATTTTTGTTAAAATTGGTTGCTAGGTTATTTGGAGGTCAAACTATAAATGAATCTTTTTTCCGATTCACAGCTAATGGGGAGTTGAATATCACGAAAAAAATAATGGAAGTTACGACAAGTTGGGCTTCATAATGAGGGACACTAGAGAATTCAGTGATATAATAGTTATTTATGTATCAAGGGAATTAGGAGGGCCTTAATTACCGATGGCAAAGTTTGCGTCCCGAGGGCCTCTGGCCCGAGGGACAGCAATTGCCTGAGGTTATTAAGGCTCATTAATTCCCGTGGTACATAGATAATTTTATTTCTGACCGATTTCAATAAAATTTTGTTCATTTTTGAAACGGAAAAATGTACCAATTCATTACCTTCCCGGTATATCTGAATCAGGTACCGTTGATTATAGTAGAGTTTTCTTGTTGCTAGGTTGTTGCTATGTTACTTGTTTATAAACAGAACTTTGTTATCAAGCTGTGTTTGCGGTGAAAACGTGTTTTCTACCCCAAATATAATGGAGGATATTTTAAAAAAAGCTGAACAAGCAAGAGAATCATTAATTCCATCGAAAAGTGAAGCCGTATACCAAAAAGAATACAAGATATATCTGGACTGGCTGACACGGAAAAATGTTATGCCAAAAGATGTCACTGAAACTGTGTTTCTGGCATATTTTCAAGAACTGGTAAGGAATTTTCTATGTTTTTCGGTAGATTTGGTAGTAATTGTGTTTATTCGTTTCAGTCAGAAACGTATAGTCCGAATTCTTTATGGACTAAATGGTCAATGCTAAAATCGATGGTGACTATACATGAGAAACGAGATATCACCAAGTTCAATGAACTACAGGCTTTTTTGAAACGGAAGAGTAAGAATTGTAAGCCGAAAAAGTCTGCTGTTTTATCTCCTAAAGATGTTATCAGATTCCTAAAGGACGCTCCTAATGATATTCATTTATTGCATAAGGTAATTTTTTTCTTATTTTCCTTTTTGTGTGTATTTATTTCCTTTTTTTTGTTATAGGTTGTTTTGATTATGGGTTATTTTGGAGGATGAAGAAGTCAGGAACTTTTGAATATGAAGATATCGGATATAGAGGACCGGGATTCCGTTATGGTAGTGAACGTACCGGAAAGTAAAACTGGTGTATCGAAGAAATTTACAGTTGTGGATGAAAAAGAGTTCTCCGCTTTGCCTTTATTAGGACTTTATATGTCTTTGCGTCCTAAAGGTAAAAACGTGTTTGGGAAAATCCCCAGCAAAATCGCAATGTATTTAGGATTGCCAAACTCATCTTCCTATACGGGACATTGCCTTCGTCGCACTTCTGCTACTGCTCTAGCCAATGCAGGAGCAACTATGACTAACTTAAAAAGAGTTCCACGGTGGCGGAGGGGTATTTGGAGGATAGCATCGAATTGAGAAATAAAACGGCGCGTATGTTGTCTACTTTGTCATCAGAAGAGGCAGGTACCTCGACTGTAGTGAACAGAAGCTCCAGCCATACAAAAGAAGAAATTGTTTTCAGTGGCGGAAGTAATTTTCAGGGAACATTTCAAAATTGTACATTTATTATTTGTAATGACGTGAATAAATAAAATATGGTTCAGTTTTCATTTCTATTTATTTTTACTTGTGAAAGGTAGACGGAATTATAAAATCTATAATGTCCCAAGGGAGTTATGACCCTCTTTATTGATAGCGTAACTATGACGATATAAGCTTATAATATCCCGGTCAGAAATAAAGGTAATAATCACGCTATTTTATGCTTATGTGAGGTCCAAACTGGAATTGTTTTATGTCATATTGTGAAGACTAATTCATTCATAATATCGATATCTGAGAGGGCAAATATTGTACGAGTATGTCCATTTTTGTCGAAAATGAGATATTATGATCATTATATCGTTCGAAGTGAAATCTTCATGGTGCCCTAATATTGTACCTTCGCTTGAAACTGTTTACAAGTTACTAAGGTAACAATCAAGACATATCCAGTAAAAACAAAACAAAAAGTTACATTGGAAATAAATTTTAGGGGTTGCGTTTTCCACCCCTTACAACCATGGGGTAAACCAAATAAATTACTGGCTAAGTGTCTTTTTGGTAGTACAAAACGTCAGGTTAATTTCAATATTGAAACTTTTTTAGTGCTCGTGAAAAAAATTGTTATACAAATTTCATGTACCTCCTTCAAGGAGCTGTATCTTAACAAGGGATGCTCCAATGAAATTTTTTTATATGAAAGATCCTATCTTTTTCTCGATGAGGAATCACCTCCTTAAATGTTTTACACTTATTCAGTTACACCCCGTATAGACAAGAACAACAGAACATTTTCTATTTGGACGAAACTTGGTATGACACTCACGACAGTTACGAGAATGTTTACGCCTAACATGCCTGCAAACAAAAGTTGATAAAAAGGTAATATAGCTAATTAAAGAAGAAGTATCTAATATTAGCGAAGAAGACTGGCAAAAAAGGATGAAAAAAGTAATTTTATTAGAAAAAGACTACATGCAGATTGTACACTTCCATATTCATGGTGGAAATAAATTCATTATTGATTTAAATGACGACAGTGATAGTGAAACAGATAATATGGAAGAGGAATTATCAGAAGCTTTCCAAGAAAGTTGGTGAAGTGTTTTTGAAACGTTTGAAACGTTGAGCTGTTTTCTCAGGTTTCGCTTCGTGTTCTGTGTATTTAATCCTCATAAGGATTATTCTCACAACGTTTCGGCAAAGTCACATTAGCCATCTTCTGGTGATGTTTGGAGTTTTTCAACTAGACTAATTATTTCGAACTGTGTGTCTCAATTTATAGAGATGGATGTTCCCATTTACCTGCGTTGCTACATCTGCAGCGGCTATAGATTTTGTACCAGGTGAATCTGATTACGAATCTGATTGATTTTTTGTATTTTGTTTGAACTTATCGTGTCGAGGTTTTAAAATAACGGTTTGGTATTCGGAAAAAACTCCAGTAATATCCATTACTACATCAAAGGTTCCAAAAAGTACATCACAAGTACATAATGACGGCCAAATTAGGCTAATACAAGCAGATATTTGGTTTCTAACGAGCTGTAAAGATATTCAGTCCTTCCAAAATTTGTTAATGTGAATATTCCTATTGAATCTTCAGTTGCTGATTAAGTCCAAAAATTCGCCAAAGAGAAATGGCTTGATTTAGAAATCGAACATCTGTACAATAACCGTAGTTTCTTAGAATTAGATAGCTATAGTCTATATAAAAAACTAACATATAGATTAGACGAAATTGATTACAGTGTGATCTTCCTCTTGAAGATGATCACTTGGTGATCGAAACATGTGTCGAAGTGTTAAAATAAAGGTTAGGTGTTGGGAAAAAACTCCAGTAAAATTAATTTTTGAACTTATTGTTGAATATAATTGAGTTAATAAAAAATATTTCAGATATATCACTATACCCATTTTTAATTTTGACATAGTATGTCCATAAGCTAAGTTACAATTATTGTGTGACCAGAAATTTGGTGAATATTAATACTAACGCAAACAAAAAACTGAAAACTAACGAGACAAAAGTTGTAAGACGAAAGGAATTACTATTGCAGTACTGAAACAAAATATGCAGACTCGCCACAGTGAGCTTACCCTTTGAATCGATTTTATTCAAAACTAACCCTTTTGGACATACATTTATCCTCTTACGCATCAATATGTCAATTGAATCCAATTCTGTTGTTTTTTGAGCATATTTTCTTCACCATTTCCTCTAATTGGGTGTACACCTGTTGGAAATAAAGTGATATCTATCTATCTGAAAAGAATCCTATACCCAGCCGCATATTATTCTTGAAAATTAAAAAAAAAATCGGTCGTTGCTTACTGCAACTCTGTACAAGCAGCCTTGTCTGGAATATCACGCGCAGTGTGCATGATAATGTTTTGGAGCACTCTACGAATTTCTTAGCCCACCTAGGATTTATACAGTGTGTCTCACTTCTCATGGAAACACCCCCGTATCTTACGTAATATTCGAGGTAGAACGATGAAAGTATCTGGACTGATGAAAATGCTCAAAATGCACCTACCACCTGAATGGGGTTGGCCAAAGTGATATACACTGTCCGCCACTCGCGATGGAACACCCCATTTTTACGGTAAAACATATTACGGCGTAAAATAGTTCGCTTCCAATACCTGAACCCCTTCATTCTATCTGGAGAGCACTCTCAGGTATGAAAGATACAGATGCTGTGAGATGCTATCATCCATTTTGAGCCTATCTGAGAAAAATGTCACAGCACCACATTCTCAGATTTTCAAGATAGTGTGAAGCAGTGTATGAAAAATTATCGATGGCGGCATCTATTATAACTGAAGAAGATTATTCGTAAAACTAATTCTAGTTGCTGAACATCCAAATTCTATCCCAACCAGAAGTGAGAGCTCTCGATTGATGAGTAAAAACTGCAAAAAATGGATAAAATCTATATTCAAAGGTTCACATCTCGAAAACTGTACAATTCTGAGCTTTGGCTGTGGACACTTTAAATGAGTACATCAAGAACTACAACATATCAAAATTTCGGCAAAATTCAAGGCAAGCCATTTCTCATAAGAAATTTGCGGGGTCCTTTATCAAAATATTGAGGAAACATTTTACCATCCGAAACAAAATTGATCTTCATACTGATTGCAACACCGAAACAACTGTTAATTTTTAAAGAAAAAATCGCACTCGGTGAACAGGTAGAATTTAGATTATTTTACCTACTTGCTGAGTTGTTGTCTGCAATCATTTGAAGAGATTGAATTACATCAGTTTCATTGAATCATGCGGTGCCCTGAAATCACCATGGAAAACAGTTGCTCATTGATATTTACTGTCAACCTGACAATATTGTTGAAAGATCTTGTTGTATTAACCCCCAGACCGGTTTTCATTGCATTTGTTGTTTCATGTATTGTTGTTCTTTGAATCATCGTTGTTCCTGTTGTTTCTGCCGTGTTTTTGTTCCCATTGTGTTTATTGTTCCTGTATTTGTGTTGGATATTGTTCCTGCGTTCCAGTTGTTTTCTGTTCGTGAGTTCCTGTTCATATTTTAATATTTCTGAAGTTCCCATTTTAACTGATATCAGTTCATTTTGATTGACAAAGTTCAACATGGCACGTCTGTCACTTCAATCAAAAATTGAAATTGTTTTAATTGTTGGTGAAGGGGTGGGGTCTTATCGTGAAGCGGCCGCTGAATTTAATAGAAGACGTCCGCTAGAGGTAGCTGTATACCCTGGAACTGTACATGAAATATATAATCTATTCGTGAGCACCGACCAAGTAACAAAGGACACAAAAATTGTAAAACATCATATTGATGATGATACGATATTGGTGGCTCATCAAGCTGATCCTAGAATTAGTTTGAGAAACTTATCGCTTCAACTCAATATGAGCCGCAGTAAAATATGGAGGCATTTAAAGAGGCATAAAATGCATGCGTTCAAACCCAAAGTTTTACATACTTTGCACGAAGGAGATGAAATCCGCCGTATGGAGTATTGTTTATGGATGCAGGGAAATTATCTCAATGACAGGAATTTTTTAAAGTATATCTTATACAGTGATGAGACTACCTTTACCACGAATGGTGTTGTATCTTCCCAGAACATGAAGTGTTGGGCTGAACAAAATCCAAATTAGGTGGTGAATTGTAGAGACCAAATATCTCAGAAAGTTAATGTGTGATGTGGTATCCTGAACGAAAATATTATCGGGCCATTTTTTTTCGATCAAAATTTGAACGGACGACTATTCGTTGATTTTTTCGAAAATTCATTTTCCGATGTGTTGGAAGAACTACCTTTGGATGTGAGATACAGCATGATTTTTCAGTTAGATGGTTCAACAGTTCACAATAGTGGCATATAAAGGGTTTGGTTGAATAGGAATCCACCTATGAAATGGATAGGACCCAATAGCCCTCTCGTAGTATGGCCACCACGATCCCCAGATTTAACTCCAGTGGATTTTTATTAATGGAGAAACTTGAAAAATTAAGTTTATAAGGATAGGCCAACAAATAAGGAAGATCTCCGTGCAGGAATTATAAAAGCGTGTAGAGAAATCACACCTAGAAAACTGAAAAAAGTTGGAGGAAATAATAGAAGACGCATAGAAAAATGTGTTCGATTGGAGGGAAATTTCATAGAAGGCACGAAAATATAAAATTGTCAACAGTTGAATCATTTGAAATTGATTGTTTTGTTTTTTAATTGAAAATATGATTTTGAAAGTAGTACTTCGAAAGAATTTTGAACTACATAACATTTTTTGCCACAAAATATCCTTGTTTT